CTTATAAAAGGCTAAATAAAACAAAAATATTGGTGGTAATTTTTGACTGTGTAACTTTACAAACGGCACCCCATAGATCTGTCCCACAACTGATACATCCCAGACCCGATACGTTCCAAAACCATCTCATCAGTTGAATGTTTGATCAAAAGGAAGAAGCAGAAAAGAGGCAGAAGGTAAGTTTGGTGTAGCCGAGGGTCYTTATGGTTCACGGTCATTTAAAGCTTTATTGTCTCAGATTTCAATACAACAAGTGGCAGTGTGGGTTTTCATTTAAAAAAAAAACAATACTTTTAAATACAGTTGCTTCTTGGATTGAGCAGGGGTAGATCAGCACTAAAATAGAAGAATCCTAATTTCAGTATATGTAAAGGGAAAGTTATCGGTGGTGATGAGAGCCTGAGAAAACAGAGACTTTTTTTTCTGTTCAGATGTAAGTTTGGATGTGACCGGTGACGTGTTGGTAACCAGTAACAATTAGTGGGCCGGCTGACTGATTCCCCCCCCTCGGAGGCTGTAGCTACTGCTCGTGACTCACTGAGCCCATTRTTTAAAAAAAACTTTGGACTAAAACTCTTTCAGCCCAAGCGAAAAAGAAAAGCCGACACACACTCAAGCTTCAAGCGAGGAGGCATTCATAACGAGAAGTTCTATTGTAATTACAAAGTTCCACAGGAATCAACAGCAACAAATAATAATAATATAATAAGAGGAAGAAACAAGCAAGAAAAGGGAGCAATTCCACTTAAAGCAAAGCAGAAGGTAAAATAAGCGCAGTCAAATCAAAACATTTGACTCTACTCATCATTAAGCTTCATTCTTTGTCATTTTGGAGACTTCATCATTGTTTCTTGTGCGAGAATAAACTTGGTCAATCCATTGTCTTGGCAGACAGTCCATTTGTGTTTTGGGGTAAAAAAAAACGCAAACAAAAAGAAAAACAAGAAAAGAAACCAGAACCTACGTCTAGATTACAATTGTTGTGTGCTATCTTACAGTATGTACAGGAGAATAAAACGCATGCGGAAAAATTAGAAAAATAAAAATAAGGTTTTAGAAGAGCTTGGCTTTCTTTTTCATGTCGTTGCGTTTCCACAGGGGAAGCCTGTCAAACTCCTGGATCTCCATTCCAAAGATGTCAAAGAACGTTTCGGGGGATAAGTGGCGCTGGAAGGGGGGGAGGAAACAAAAGAGGGAAGCAAAAAAAATTTTTAAAAAATGTATAAAACCTCATTGTGTAACGTTTACTGTTCACACAAAATCAAAAGAAAAGTGAGGAGGAGAGGCGATACCTCCAGTCTGGTTCTGTCCACATCCCTTGGCAGTTTAGCTCGCCCCCTACTGGTTATCATGAGCATTTCATACGGATACACCTTCAGGAGGAGACATCCATCAGCATWCAGGTCAAATTAACAAGCTCAGACTGTTTATTACCAAAAATACATAAAAAAAATCACATAATTTGGATATTTTGTGTTATTTTAACTGTGAGTCAGAGAGGTGGGAGGACAGGTGTGTGACAGGAGGCTGACTGGGGGAATGCAGGTGTGTGTTAGACTTAAAGCATGCAACAAATAAGAGGGAAAAACATGATGTCATATTTGTGTAATATCCTTAAGYTCTTTAAAACTTAAAACAAACATTWTAAATGTAGGCCACATGGGAAGGACCTGTCCTGGAGGTTTGCTAAACTAGAAACGCCGTCTGAGATGTTCAACAATAAGCAACTGAAAGTTCACTAAAGCCCCTGACTGACTCATATCCACACAGGAAGGTGGATATGTTCTTATTTACAACAACAAAATCTGAAAATGTTGGGATGTTGTGAAAATGTAAATAAAAACAGTTTCATGAACTTTTTATTCACAGTAAACATATCGGGTTCTGAAACTAAAAAATGGCACTTTTTAGSAGGAAAATTATGAAAACTCAGAAATTTATGGCAAAAATTTGGTACAGGAGCGACAAAAAAGCAGCAAGTCACATATGTCAAACTCAAGGTCTGTGGGCCAAATGTGGTCCGCCAGTGCATTTTATGCGGCCCACATTAGTATTAGTCTTAAAATAAGCAGCTTTAAAATCAAAATTAAAATTAAAACCCTGTTTTGCATGTGACTAAATGGAGCTAATCAAGCCTATTGTTAGGCGATGGCCCTCTTTTGCATGTGACTAAATAGAGCTAATCAAGCCTATTGTTAGGCGATGGCCCTCTTTTGCATGTGACTAAATGGAGCTAATCAAGCCTATTGTTAGGCGATGGCCCTCTTTTGCATGTGACTAACCTGTTTGTCCATGTGGAGGCAGTGCTTATAAGGCTGAGTTTCACCTGAAACTCATCAGACTGAAYAAGWCTCTTGGAGGAGAGACGAAACGTTTCACTAAAGAAGAACCATCCAGAGGACCTACTGATTTTTTCTTTTTGATTTTTTCTACCTGGGTTACTGAGATGCATCAGGACACTTGAAAATCATATTCACCATAAACTACATCTCCCATAACGCATGTTGATTTTTTTTACCAGCTAAATGACTGCATCCCACCACTAGGTGGAGCTGCATGGGGTTTAAAATTAGCTGTCGAAATTTGCCGTGTAAAATCTCCATTTTGCTACATTTTTGCCAGCTACCAGTTGTATCGGGATGTGGGAATATTCCACTTACACGCCGTATCGCCCCTCCAGTGAGCATTCCCTCGAAAAGTGCGAGAGTTCTGAATTCAAGATGGCAGCTACTCCCCACAACTCTACAGTGAGTAAAACTCTTACTTTTAATAGCATTTCTGTAGTATTTCACAACTAGTCAGCCGTACACATGGTACTTTTCAGTGTTTATAGGAGGACGCTGTTTCTATGCAGGAAATACCAGGTAGAGCTCAGTTATTGTTTGTTAGCGGGGATCAGGAACGTAACGTTTCGTGTTCCAAATGACCTTATTTTAACCAAAGAAATTGCACCATTTTTTTCCTTTCAACATCTGATTTGTTTACTATGCTCCATTGTGAATAAAATARGGATTTATGAGATTTTCTGCCCATTTTATTCTGTTTTTATTTACATTTAACATCATATTTTCAGAACTGGAGTTGTACTACACAGTATATAGTGATATGAGTTGTTTGGATGACAGTCTGGATTTCTGCACAGCTGCATACAGTAATCCAGGCCTTTTAAATCAAAGCTGTTATGTGCAGATGAGCATGGAGAAGCCAACATGCTAAAGCGCTGTAGTGACTCTGCAGCTCCTTAAAAAGCAGCATGCTAAACCAGGAATCCAGCTGACGTGAGTCCTGTTTTTGTTCCTAAGTTTACGATGAACTACAGAATGCAGGTGTCAGAGTACACACTGTATGTTTCAAAGTTACATCATTGGAAGAAGAAGAGGATACTTGCTTTTGGTTCCAACATATTAGGCATAGATACCCCCCTGTCCATCCTTGTAAGTGCTGCACGGCCATCCTTAATGTGCTAAAGAACAGAACATACACACATGTAATATAACGG